CACATGCCTGAATCTAGACTCTGGAGCCTAAATCGATCATTGTCGAGCCTCTCAGTTTTCTCGTAGTCTGAAATCACCTGCACTGGCTCACTGTTACTGCTGCCTTTGAGCAGCAACATTAACTTCTCATGTTCTTTCTCTCTCCCTTCAGTGCTGTCTTTACTTTACTTTATTCAGTTTACATATTTACCCTTCATTTAATTACTAGTATTATTAATGTCTGCATTCAAAACTTTTGCATAAGAGTGCCCCATTCCTTTACTGCAGCATCATTCAGCTACTGTTTGTTTGGAGGTCTTTCTTCTGTTTTGTCTTCACTTAATAAGAAGCATGCGTTGTGTGACTATAAAAATGTATACTTTTATTCTTTTGATTCTTTTATTATGAACGTACTGTGGTGGAGAACAAACCCTCCTCGCAAAAAAATAAAATAAAGAAAATTTTAAAAAAATCATGTCACAGTTAAAAAACTTGGTAGAACTTTATAATAATATTACACTTTTAAGCATTGTTGAGGTAATAAGTGTTGATGGGATTAATTTTTATCTTTAAGGCTAACACTTGATGATTAGCAACACACATTTGTTTATCCTTTACTGCACACAATGTATTGAAGAATAGTCTGGATTCACTCTGATGCTGGCAGATAAACAGGGGGAAGACCCTTCACGGGAATGTGGATGGAGGTTGTGATAGCTACAAGACAACCCCCTTCTTGAACTCTACAGGCCAAGCTGGAGAACGACAGGTGGTTGCCATGGTAATAGGAGTGCTGCCTGCAAAAGGGTCATCTCCATATAAGGTTGATATCCAGAGAGGTGCAGAAGAAGAAACGTGCACCAGTATCAGACCGAAGGCCACCCTCAACTGATTCCACCAATCATGTTAACATTCTGTTTCTGTGACCCACCATAAAGGTCTGCACTATTTGGGTGTGCTGCTCTTTGCAGCCGTTTTTTAACTTGAGCCTTCAAATGCTTAATACATTTAAGACAACACACTTTGAGCATGTTTGTCTTCTCTCTCTCAAAAATGAACCTAACAGTGTGTACTCCCAGTTTTATATATAATTAGTCCTCCCCAGTATGTCATTTTTAAATACACATATATTTATACATCTGTTACTGCTACACCATGTACAGCTATCATTGATAGTAACTCACTGGTAGTATGAATTAAACACTTGCTAATACCTTACTAAAACATTAAGAATTCTTAACATTGTGACATTATTATTAAGTGCTACCAAAAACCTAAGTTTTACATACATCCCGTACATCTGTGATTTCAAATATCTGGGTACAGGTTGCAATGTGTGCTGTGAAAGTTTATAGCAATTACACATGGTAAGTTTTTTTCTTTCTTGCTGCTGGTGACTCCCATGATCCAGTGGG